AATAACACCAGTGTCTGTCAATAACAACAGTTTCTGACAACACCAGTTTTTGACAAGAACATCAGTTTCTGTCAATAATTCGCAAGCAGCGAATATAATATGGTGGTGTTGATATATTCATTATGGTTTGACTAAATTAACTTTTCACGCAGTTGGAATCACTTGCCAAGACATAGAAACATGAACATGGAGGCACCTTTCTGGCTGAAATCTGAAAAAAATGGCTCCCTTCCACATTTTTACAAGAAGTGTGATAACGTAACCGATGCTAAAATGTGCATCTGCTTGTATGAATATTTCATATGCGGAACTGCTTTTCATCATTTGATTGATGGATTAGTAGCAAGAGGAAATTAATAAAGCATGTTTTTCCAATGAATTGTTGATAGATTAGAGTGCTATGGCAGGCAAAGAAGATGATACGTTTGTAGAGTAAATTAATTCTAATTTGATGTCTGCCCTCATTATTCTTATTGTGGGTTATTGAGTGTAGACTCAATTTGGAGTAAATTCTAACTGTATTGACTGACACTTTGGCTTTCTTTGCTGCTGCAGTGATTTTAGTACAGAACAGGAGAGAGTTTGTCCCTGCTATTGTGATTACAATTTTTAATAACTCAACTAAAATAATGGTTACTTTACTTTCACAAAATTTCCTTTATGGACCTTTTGTCCATCATTGAATGTTTTGTTTTATAGCACAATGGTGGGACGGAAAACTCACATCTTTCTCCTACCTTCCATCTGCAATACTGAGAGAAACACTGAGAAAGCAAGAAATACAAACATGTCATGCAATATTCCTGGGGGAATATGTATGTGTATCCCTGGTAGTTGTGTCACATCAGGTCTGAGGTGTTTACAGGTCATGGCTACAGGTGTGATCATATTGATTGTGTTTACAGGTCATTGCTACAAGTGTGATCAGATTGATATTTGTTACAGGTCATTGCTACAGGTGTGATCAGATTGATTGTGTTTACAGATGATTGCTACAGGTGTGATCAGATTGATATTTGTTACAGGTCATTGCTACAGGTGTGATCAGATTGATCATTGTTACAGGTCATTGCTACAGGTGTGATCAGATTGATCATTGTTACAGGTCATTGCTACAAGTGTGATCAGATTGATCATTGTTGCAGGTCATTGCTACAGGTGTGATCAGATTGATGGTTGTTACAGGTCATTGCTACAGGTGTGATCAGATTGATGGTTGTTGCAGGTCATTGCTACAGGTGTGATCAGATTGATCATTGTTACAGGTCATTGCTACAGGTGTGATCAGATTGATCATTGTTACAGGTCATTGCTACAGGTGTGATCAGATTGATCATTGTTACAGGTCATTGCTACAGGTGTGATCAGATTGATCATTGTTACAGGTCATTGCTACAGGTGTGATCAGATTGATCATTGTTACAGGTCATTGCTACAGGTGTGATCAGATTGATCATTGTTACAGGTCATTGCTACAAGTGTGATCAGATTGATCATTGTTGCAGGTCATTGCTACAGGTGTGATCAGATTGATGGTTGTTACAGGTCATTGCTACAGGTGTGATCAGATTGATGGTTGTTGCAGGTCATTGCTACAGGTGTGATCAGATTGATCATTGTTACAGGTCATTGCTACAGGTGTGATCAGATTGATGGTTGTTACAGGTCATTGCTACAGGTGTGATCAGAATGATGGTTGTTACAGGTCATTGCTACAGGTGTGATCAGATTGATAGTGTTTAAAGAGAATGTCAGATTGATTGTTGGTTGTATGGGTGGATCACTGGATATTGATCATGTTACTTGCAGCAGTTGACCATTGGACTAAGGTGGCCTGTGTAGGAGGCTAAGATGTCTGTGTGGCAGCTGCTGACTACTGGACCAAGGTTGACTGTGTAGGAGGCTAAGATGTCTGTGTGGCAGCTGCTGACTACTGGACTAAGGTGGCCTGTGTAGGAGGCTAAGATGTCTGTGTGGCAGCTGCTGACTACTTTACTGAGGTGGACTGTGTAGGAGGCTAAGATGTCTGTGTGGCAGCTGCTGACTACTGGACTAAGGTGGCCTGTGTAGGAGGCTAAGATGTCTGTGTGGCAGCTGCTGACTACTGGACTAAGGTGGCCTGTGTAGGAGGCTAAGATGTCTGTGTGGCAGCTGCTGACTACTGGACTAAGGTGGCCTGTGTAGGAGGCTAAGATGTCTGTGTGGCAGCTGCTGACTACTGGACTGTGTAGGAGGCTAAGATGTCTGTGTGGCAGCTGCTGACTACTGGACTAAGGTTGACTGTGTAGGAGAGGCTAAGATGTCTGTGTGGCAGCTGCTGACTACTGGACTGAGGTGGACTGTGTAGGAGGCTAAGATGTCTGTGTGGCAGCTGCTGACTACTGGACTAAGAAGGTGGCCTGTGTAGGAGGCTAAGATGTCTGTGTGGCAGCTGCTGACTACTGGACTGAGTTGACTGTGTAGGGAGGCTAAGATGAGGTTGACTGTGTAGGAGGCTAAGATGTCTGTGTGGCAGCTGCTGACTACTGGACTAAGGTGGCCTGTGTAGGAGGCTAAGATGTCTGTGTGGCAGCTGCTGACTACTGGACTAAGGTGGCCTGTGTGTGTAGGAGGCTAAGATGTCTGTGGCAGCTGCTGACTACTGGACTGAGGTTGACTGTGTAGGAGGCTAAGATGTCTGTGTGGCAGCTGCTGACTACTGGACTGAGGTGGACTGTGTAGGAGGCTAAGATGTCTGTGTGGCAGCTGCTGACTACTGGACTGAGGTTGACTGTGTAGGAGGCTAAGATGTCTGTGTGGCAGCTGCTGACTACTGGACTGAGGTGGCCTGTGTAGGAGGCTAAGATGTCTGTGTGGCAGCTGCTGACTACTGGACTGAGGTGGACTGTGTAGGAGGCTAAGATGTCTGTGTGGCAGCTGCTGACTACTGGACTGAGGTGGCCTGTCTAGGAGGCTAAGATGTCTGTGTGGCAGCTGCTGACTACTGGACTCAGGTTGACTGTGTAGGAGGCTAAGATGTCTGTGTGGCAGCTGCTGACCACTGGACTGAGGTGGACTGAGGTGGCCCACTCTGATGTCTTTGTGGCAGACATTACAAATGTTCATCTCACATTGATAGTAGGGAGATCTGTGAATGACCACAAGAAAAGTGGGATGTCAGAAAAGGATACTTTATTCTTTAACACGTCAAACATACCCTATACCTCCCCCAATCTTTATTGATGCAACCGTTAAACTTTTAGAATGAGAAACACACAAGTGATAGTAACCTTCCTCATATAGCAGTGTAAACCATTAGACCATCCTAGGAAGGAGACCATGTAGCTGTGTTTCATCTTGTTTCATCCGAGATAGTGCAGGTTTCCATGGCCTAATTATATCATGATAAGTCATTTTACTTTAAGCCCTAAAAGACTGATGATGATTTTGTCTGACTTAAAACTTTGGTGACTTGTCCCTATCATTATTTCGACTGAATGAATCAACATCCTGGGTTTTATTCAAACTGGTATTTTCAGATATGAATTTCAAGAAATCTAGCCTCATTCTTTTATGAGAAATTACATTTGCCTTTCATATCATATTGAATATCTGCACAGTTTAAAAAAGTAATGGTTAAAAATGTTTTTGAATTTCAAATGCATCAACTGCTTTTCTGAAAGTATTCAGATTGGCACAGCATATCATTCCCCAGACCATTGGCAGGACCGTGTTTTGTTTGGGGGAAATATGAAACTCTCTTGTATCCCGGACCAGGATGTTACAGCGTAACAAACATTCAATATTTATTGATATCACTGACTTTGATGATTTTCTTTCTCCTTACGCTAATGATCATGCAGTTAAATACACATCAAATAGGCATGTGTTGACTCATTGAATCAGTCGTTTTCCGCCCCGTTAGTCGTGGTAATTGAAAGGTACATGTAACATCCATCACTTTGTCATGTGGCACGGAGACTATTTCATGCAATGTTAATTGCTTGTTAATGAGTCCGATCTTTCATCTCATCAGTAATCAATGGTGATGTGGAGTTAATATTGACATTACAGCCAACAGCTCTTGATGCCAACAAATGGCCATATTGTTACATTTTAGCTGTGTCCCTTTGTCCAGTGATACTCACACTCTCTATTTGGCTGTCCTGTGAAGATCGGGATTAGAACCTTTCTTCAGTAACCCATGCTTGTAGTAAAAGGCGACTAACAGGATCGGGTGGTCAGCCTCGCTGACTTGGTTGACATGTCATTGTATCCCAGTTGTGTAGATCGATGCTCATGCTGTTGATCACTGGATTGTCTGGTCCAGACTCAATTATTTACAGACTGCATCCATGTAGCTGGAATATTGTTGAGTGTGGCAACAAACACCCTCTATTTAGCATGGCAGTGGCGTAAGATACCAGATGTTGTGCAGAATAAGGTTTCTTTGAGTTCAGGTCTTAGATTCTGACATTATGATGCTTGATGATCAACCCACCTTGCTGTGGGTTTCAGAAAATGGAACAATAATTATCATAAATTAGTATTTGGATAATTTCTTTGGTATTAAGTCTTTGTTTTGAAAATGCATTTTAAAATATGGGTACTGTTAAATCCATTTTCAAAACAATCTCTGATATAATATTTAAAAATAGTTTGAAATGGATATACTTTTGACTTCAACTCAAGTTGTTTTGAAAAATTTAAGCATATGAAAAAAAAAGAATACAAATATTTCAGACCCTTGATTTGTGGGACAAAACTGGAGGTTTGTATGAATCATACCCAGTATTGAGAGTATTGTACCAATTGACCTGTTATGGAGCCTTATAAAGATCCATTGCTGAACAAACCACTGCCACAGGAGCTTCCATGCAGAATTATTGTGTAGTCCTAGTTTAGCTGAAGCTACTGATGAAATGTTATACTGTTCACATTAACTTGATCTCCATGTCTGTCTAAAACTGTGTCAACAAGATGGTTGTCTGTGTTACTCACATGAATGTTTCTGTCTCCAGAGCTCAACAGTTGGATCTCACGTGACCCTGAAAACAGACCAAAATGGCTACATTATCTACTGGAAGGACCAAACCAGCAAGGTAACCTTTCTAATTGTGATCACTCTCACATGTGAAAAAATAAAACAATCAATTTCATATTTTCAGCTGACTAAATTAGGGTTCATAATTTCACTTTTATTGTCAAAAATATGGATTTCCATGGCTTCATATTCACCAAATTCTATTACTTTACAAAAACATGCTTGTCTATTTTGATCCTTAAATGAAACTCTGTGTATTTTCTGAAACAGTAAAATATGTTCATTGATAATTTGATAAATTATTTAAGACACAGCCTTTACTTTCTGATCAGATGGTAATTTGTCTTGGAAGTTTTTCCCTAACTGATGAATTATTCACAGTGGATGGAGCCCGAAGAAAGTGACCCTGTTTCATCCATTTCCTACTCAGACTTCAGGAGGCCATTGGATGTTTTGTGCACACTTGAAACATTCCTGTTTTAATTGACTAAATTTTCTTCAGTGTTATGCATCGTCCATTTTGGGGTCTTGTGTCAGTTTATCCCACATCTGCTTGTGAATAAAACATTTTTATTTCATTTGTGTGATCCAAATTCAAATGATACAGGAACTCGGTCCTGATGATGGTGTACGACATGTCAGGAGAGATGCAAATCTAGGTCTCGGAGGCCAAGATTCTGTAACAAAATGTAGTTAAACTTTCCAAAATTGAAATTAAGGACAGGTTATGATGAACTTTACAAATATGACATGCCAATTATTACGTTTGGTTCAAATCAGAAATACCCCTGAAAGTTGGAAAATGAGAATCTTTTAGTTTGCCAGACGTGAAGTGAAAGTGAGGTTACATGAGATGTTCGTGAGCTGTAGGATGGTCCTAAACTCTTACAGTTTCAACATTTCCTTTATAACAACCAAAACTGTGGACACCACAACAAAACAATCCCTTTGTTGATTCATTTTTCATACTCATTACATTGTGGGCTGTTTCATTCTTCAGATATCCACTGTCATCCATCTGAATGTTCCTCATAATAATAGATCAATGTCTCCATTGCTGTAGGGTAGCCTTGTGGTTAAAGTGTTTGCTCGTCACACCAAAGACTCAGGTTCAGTTCCCTACATATGTACAATGTGTGAAACTCATTTCTAGTGTACCCCTCTGTGATATAGCTGGAATATTGCTGAAAGTGGCATAAAACTACCACGCACTACCATTACCTGAAGAGTTTTGCTCAATCTGCACAGGTTAGGGGACTGGTTGATACCTGACTGGAAAGCTTCTTGTTGTTGAACTACCCAGACTCCTGTAGATATGTTTGTAAGCGATATTTAGAAGTATTCTAATGGTGTATTTTGCCAATAGATGACATGAGCATCAGAAAAGAAATAGTTTTTGTTGCCTTGGTGGCATGAGTTGGATCAAGACATTTATTCGCACTGATGCTATAAATTCCCTTGAAGCTATATTTCAATTTGCATTCACCTTGCAATGAAAAAATCCATCACAATCTATCAATATAACTTTCAATCAAAGATTGTCCCAGATAAATGCAAACAGATGTTAAAGCCAGACAACTGGTGGCATGATATGACATGTTCATTCCTACCCCTTGTGTGATTTGCTGTTATTTCAACAACAGTATCAACTGTCGTGCATTGCAATGGTAACATTGCTTCATGGTCATGTTTAGCTTCTGTTTTAGTTATATACTGAAGGTTTACATTTTTTCTTAGACCAGCTCAATTTTATTTTTGTCCTCAGAAAACTTAAAGGGGGGGAGGGGAATCACCAATCAGAGCAAAAACCCACATGAGTTTCCATGTTAACTCTTTTGGGTTGTTTATGTCAACCAATAATAAGCTGAGTGGGTTTAGGTTTCACACTGATTTCAAGGGTTTCACTTATATCACATTAACGTTTGGATTTTAGTTTTTGAGTGGGGAAAATTAATTTTAATTTTTCTTATTGTTGAAAAAATATGACCGGCGGATCCGTAAAACAAGAAATAAAATTGGTCTGGCCTAAAGTTGATACCAAACCTGTCCTGTATGACTATTCTTGTCTCATATATCTGCTGTAGTATGTAATGTCTTATGTTCTGATGAAAACATGAACAAAGTGGAAACAGTCCCTGGTGCCGTTGTATAATGCGATGTTAGTGCTAAAGTAACCACAACTCCCATACCTTAACATAGACTTAAGGTAGTCTTAGCGCTAAGGTTGTTTAATACAACAGCACCCATGTCAGGAAGGCAGAAGTACTTGGCTGATTATTCAAGTCAAGTCGGACACTTCCTTCACCTGTAAGGACTCTCAGAGACTTCATTGCATTGTTAAATCATTCACCACTATGATTAATTAGCCAGAGTCAAACACCCATCCAGGTCAAACAAGCTCCCCAGCATGTGACCGTGATAAGAGTCCCTGATCAAGAAGCCTTACTGACAGATTGGGAGGCATCACATGTATGCTAAACACTAGATCTGCAGCTGCATGTCTTACCGATGATAATACTAGTTGACAGGACCCAGTATACAGAAGATAGTGTGAAGAAGAATCAGCAGTCAAGTAGTCACTGAAACAAACGTAAAGCTTGTTCTCTCCTATTTAGGATTTTTCTATTCAAACATAAATTACATAACTGGCAAAAGATGTAATTGAAAGCTAATCTAACATCACATAAGCGAAAGAATTCTCTGCAAAAAAATTGTAATTTGCAAAACTCTAAATCATGGTTCATTAAGTGTTTTCCCCCTGAGGAATCCAAGAGATTTCTGAGTGTAACTTAAAAAGCATCTTGCCTGAGGGCATCAACATACTTGGTTCCACTGCTGTGACAAATACAGCGTTGCTGTTTTCACCCTGAAATTACTCATAATTTCTTTGTGGCTCCTGTATATACAATAGAATCATGAAGTTACTACTGACATTTGGAAATAGCTTGTCTTGTGGTACATGTAACATGTGGATCTGGTGCTCCGCTGTCTTGACAAAATTGTCAAAAGAATTATCTTCAAATGAATGACAATCAAATCAATGTGGATGATGTATCACAATTCTTGCTCAGCTAATGGAATTATGGGCACTTCCTGTACCGGGTTCTTTGGTCACTTATGCTCCATGATTATTAATTATCAAGTGAAATTGAAACCTTACACCTGTAATGCCATACCTAATGGGCATGTATGTGCAGTGCTGTCATCTTATGAGTGTTTGTGAAAAACTTGGGTGCTGAAGAGTGAAGAAAAGTGAAGAAGACATGAATGTCCTTTGATCATGCAAGCATATTAAAATAGTCATTGTGATACCTTAGCTACTGAGTCGTGTCCAGTTTAATTTGAATGGATGAAATTTGTTGTTGAGATGTTCACTATAATTAAACAGGACACCAAATAACTCACTATAGTTAAACAGGACACCAAATAACTCACTAAAGTTAAACAGGACACCAAATAACTCACTTTAGTTAAACAGGACACCAAATAACTCACTATAGTTAAACAGGACACCAAATAACTCACTATAGTTAAACAGGACACCAAATAACTCACTAAAGTTAAACAGGACACCAAATAACTCACTATAGTTAAACAGGGCACCAAATAACTCACTTTAGTTAAATAGGACACCAAATAACTCACTATAGTTAAACAGGACACCAAATAACTCACTATAGTTAAACAGGACACCAAATAACTCACTAAAGTTAAACAGGACACCAAATAACTCACTATAGTTAAACAGGGCACCAAATAACTCACTTTAGTTAAACAGGACACCAAATACCAAATAACTCACTATAGTTAAACAGGACACCAAATAACTCACTTTAGTTAAACAGTACACCAAATAACTCACTAAAGTTAAACAGGACACTAAATAACTCACTAAAGTTAAACAGGACACCAAATAACTCACTAAAGTTAAACAGGGCACCAAATAACTCACTATAGTTAAACAGGACACCAAATAACTCACTTTAGTTAAACAGGACACCAAATAACTCACTATAGTTAAACAGGACACCAAATAACTCACTAAAGTTAAACAGGGCACCAAATAACTCACTATAGTTAAACAGGACACCAAATAACTCACTTTAGTTAAACAGGACACCAAATAACTCACTTTAGTTAAACAGGACACCAAATAACTCACTAGAGTTAAACAGGACACCAAATAACTCACTTAAGTTAAACAGGACACCAAATAACTCACTAAAGTTAAACAAGACACCAAATAACTCACTAAAGTTGAACAGGACACCAAATAACTCACTATAGTTAAACAGGACACCAAATAACTCACTTAAGTTAAACAGGACACCAAATAACTCACTAAAGTTAAACAAGACACCAAATAACTCACTAGAGTTAAACAGGACACCAAATAACTCACTAAATCTATCACGTTTCATAATGCCTGAAACACTTATTACATTTCAAATGGCCATATATAATCGACAGAATTAGAATTAGAAACTATTTTTCGCAATGTTATTGAAAAAAAACGATTCTTGGACACATGCTTCAGCAACGGGTCCACATCAGAGTTGTCAAAGAGCAAAGTAACGATGTTTCGAGATTGAATAAACAGAAGAATAAAATCAACAACAGTACTCATACAGGTTGTCAAATGTACGTTACAACTTACTATTTCCATCTTTATTGTGCGATCGTGTAATGTAATTCAAGTGACATCTCAGCTTTCGTCGCTTCGAACTTTACGCTCGGACACAATGTTTAATGCTAAAATATATGCATTAAACTTTCTTGTCACAGGTCATAACCTAGCACGATACGTCCACTAAGTTCCATAATATACCCATAGGTGGTGATTTTTTGCGTAACATGTTCAGAATAGCATGATTTTACCCAAAACTTTCGTCTGAACCTGCATGTTTTCGTTTACGACGACAGTATCGATTGCTGTTATTTGATTGTCTGCCTTAGGTCACGTGTCTGATTTTGACCAATCACAATCCTTATAGCAGAATGAGGCAAATAAGCGTCATTAGAAACCAATCTTTATCCAATAAAATCGCTTCTTATAACTGTGAAAATACTCTTGGCAAGGGTACAGTGATATTGTTGATGTTCAGAGCTTTCGAACGATACCCCGCCATCAAACGAATTGCCTCAAATGTTATTCATACGAAGCTTCGAAAACGGAGGTATTTCACGCTGTTGTATCATGTTACCGAGCGGAAAGCCACTTATATCGGGAAATAGACGACCATAAATATTAATTCAGAAATGAAAATATAAATGAAAAAGGTAAGGAGATATTATGACATGTTACGAATGGAAAAAAATCGCCTAATTTTTTTGCTTCCTTCGTGGTTTATCTGGACATATAAATGTGTAAGCTTGCATTTTCATTAAAAATTAACTTATTTAAGTTGTAGTCGTATTACTTGAATAATATGATAAAAAATAACTTTCATATTTATAAACAGTAGGATTAGACCTTTCAAATGGTGTATGATATGTAGTAGTAATAATGATTTACGAGCTGATATTTTCATTGATAAACATAGGCTTCATCTATGACCTCAGTCTCAGTCTCTGGGAACTCAGTGTCATGGCAGTAAATGCCTCTGGATGACTGGTGTTGAAAGAATTAAACAGGACACCAAATAGCTCACTAAAGTTAAACAGGACACGACATAACTCATTATAGTCAAACAGGTCTACTTAATATTACTATTGACGGTGAGATAATTATGCATCACATTGATGTAACAGAGATACCAGAAAACATTAGATCTGCACCTGTCTGAGGTATGATTGATTTACTAAACGGTTTTAGGAAAAAAAGTCATGGAAATAAGTCATAGATTTGGGTAGGAAAATAAGTCATAAGAAAAACGTCATAAGCTTAAGAAAGTCAGTATTGATAATATATTTATTCAACAAGTCATAACAATATTATCATCAATAGCACTACATAAATGTCTCTGAACCAAATCGGAACCTAACTTATAAAGGTAATGTATTTATACAAGTATAACACATGACATCATGAAATGAACAGATCACAACACGATCATCTGCAATAACAATACATAAAGATGAGGTTTGATAAGATCCAATTGCTTACAGCATCACACTGAAAGCAATAATTAACTTGAAAGTGAAATAGTGCTGGATGGTAAATATGCTATTCACACTTTGCTAAGGATCAAATCATGGATTCAACAGAAAACTATTATGTGGGGTCAAATTTGGTTTAGATACCTAAGCTTATTGCATCTTGTGGATCCCATACCTGCTATTGACACGTGTTGTTTATTTGTCAGTGACTCGTTCCATGATTTGCAAGATGGTTGATTGGCGCCATGAAAACCATTCTTATTTTTACGCATGTATCAAGTGCATAAGGTTTGATTAAAGTGGCTGTTTGCCTAAAGAGGGGATACCATTTTATTATTATCCAATTTTAAATGTATACAATTTCAACTTATAAATCTATGTGTAAGTAAAGTTGTGAATTTTTGTGATCCTTAGCAAAGTGTGAGTAGTATAGTATTTATAAAATACAGTATAAACAAAGTACATGTAAATAACTAGAGAACAGGATGTTTTATAATAGCTATTTTTTCGATGACTGGGTATCACTGTAATACTTACAGATAACAGTATAAATACAGCTCTCTGGAGTATAATTCAGGATCATTATTGAATTCCATGCAGTTCTCTCTTGTATACTGAATTAATATATTATATATTGCAGCTGTATGTTATATAACTGGAACAATGAACATCATTTAGCTGTCTGTAGTATCATTGTGCTATTATGTGATACATGCATGTCCCTATGGTATAAATGTGATACTAGATAACACCATGCAGCCAATGGTGAATCTGTGTATTATTCATACAGCTTTATTGTCAGCTGAATCATGTTTTGAAATAACACAATTTACATCAGTTGGTTTACAATGCAAGTCTATTGTTTGGTAGATTTGAATGCTTGCAAATCATGAATTGTATAGAATTCTTATAAAATTTAATTCCAATTTTGATTTATTTTTTATTTTTTTACAGGAGATGGATTTTATTGATATCTCCCAGATACGAGATACGTGAACAGGGAAATATGCCCGTGTACCCAAGGTAAGCACTGTTTGTTAAATTGGTGTGTACAGGTATTCTTCACTATCTGGCCAGTTTCATGTGTTGTAATGGCAACTGTATATATATATAGCTATGTATTATTACCATAGAATTGTAGGAATTAAGCCAGACATGAGGACATAGTACCATTAGATCCATATTGGCCAGACTGTTTATTCAGGTACTTTGATGCCACAAACATGTTGCACTTAAATATCCTGCACCGTACCATGAAGACATTGTTGATAAACAAAATATCTGAAAGGCACCATGTCACAACAATGTAATTTATTTGTTGCAATTGGAGCAAGCTAGCACCATGCAGTGGTTGAGTTTAAACATTCTAGCACCATTCATTGGTTAAGTTCAGACAGTCTGTCACCATGCAATGATTGAGTTCAGACAGTCTGTCACCATGCAGTGGCTAAATTCAGACAGTCTGTCACCATGCAGTTGCTAAACTCAGACAGTCTGTCACCATGCAGTGGCTAAATGCAGACAGTCAATCACCATGCAGTGCTTAAGTTGACAGTCTGTGACCATGCAGTGATTGAGTTCAGACAGTCTGTGACCATGCAGTGGCTAAATGCAGACAGTCTGTGACCATGCAGTGATCAAGTTCAGACAGTCTGTCACCATGCAGTGGTTAAGTTCAGACAGTCTCATCATGCAGTTGTTGAGTTCAGACAGTCAGTCACCATGCAGTGATTGAGTTCAGACAGTCTGTCACCATGCAGTGGTTAAGTTCAGACAGTCTCATCATGCAGTTGTTGAGTTCAGACAGTCTGTTGTCATGCAGTTGTTGAGTTTACACAGTCTGTCATCATGCAGTGGTTAAGTTTATGCAGTCTGTCACTATGCAGTGGTTAAGTTTACACAGTCTGTCACAATGCAGTTAAGTTCATACAGTCTGTCACTATGCAGTGATAGTGTACAGACAGTTTGTCACCAAGGAGTGCTTAAATTGAGACAGTCCATCACCATGCAGTGGTTATGTTCAGACAGTCAATCACCATGGAGTGGTTATCTTAATGCTGTCTGTCACCATGCACTGGTTAAGTTCAGACAGTATCATCATGCATTTGTTAATTTCATACAGTCTGTCATCATGCATTGGTTAAGTTTACACAGTCTGTCACAATGCAGTTAATTTCATACAGTCTGTCACCATGCAGTGGTTAAGTTTACACAGTCTGTCACAATGCAGTTAAGTTCATACAGTCTGTCATCATGCAGTGGTTAAGTTTATACAGTCTGTCACAATGCAGTGGTTAAGTTTACACAGTCTGTCACCATGCAGTGGTTAAGTTTATACAGTCTGTCACTATGCAGTGGTTAAGTTTACACAGTCTGTCACAATGCAGTTAAGTTCATACAGTCTGTCATCATGCAGTGGTTAAGTTTACACAGTCTGTCACCATGCAGTGGTTAAGTTTACACAGTCTGTCACCATGCAGTGGTTAAGTTTACACAGTCTGTCACCATGCAGTGGTTAAGGTTAAGTTTACACAGTCTGTCATCATGCAGTGGTTAAGTTTACACAGTCTGTCACAATGCAGTGGTTAAGTTTACACAGTCTGTCACAATGCAGTTCATAGTGTCAGTTCAGTTTACACAGACTGTCACCATGCAGTGCTTAGTTTACAGTCTGATGCAGTCTGTCACCATGCAGTGGTTAAGTTTACATGCAGTGGTTAAGTTTATAAGTCTGTCACCATGCAGTGGTTAAGTTCATACAGTCTGTCACCATGCAGTGGTTAAGTTTACACAGTCTGTCACCATGCAGTCTGTCACATGCAGTTGGTTAAGTTTACACAGTCTGTCATCATGCAGTGGTTAAAGTTTTACAGTCTGTCACATGCAGTTAAGTTCAGACAGTCTGTCACCATGCATTGGTTAAGTTTAAGTCTGTCACACAGTCTGTCATCCATGCAGTGGTTAAGTTTATACAGTCTGTCACCATGCAGTGTTTAAGTCTTCATACAGTCTGTCACAATGCAGTGGTTAAGTTCATACAGTCTGTCACCATGCAGTGGGTTACAGTCTTACACAGTCTGTCACTATGCAGTGGTTAAGTTTGCACACAGTCTGTCACCATGCAGTGGTTAAGTTTACACAGTCTGTCACCATGCAGTGGTTAAGTTTACACCGTCTGTCACAAGCAGTGGTTAAGTTTACACAGTCTGTCACTATGCAGTGGTTAAGTTTACACAGTCTGTCACCATGCAGTTAAGTTCATACAGTCTGTCACCATGCAGTGGTTAAGTTTACACAGTCTGTCACCATGCAGTGGTTAAGTTTACACAGTCTGTCACCATGCAGTGGTTAAGTTTACACAGTCTGTCATAATGCAGTGGTTAAGTTTACACAGTCTGTCGACATGCAGTTAAGTTCAGAAAGACTGTCACCATGGAGTGCTTAAGTACAGACAGTCTGTCACCATGCAGTGGTTAAGTTAAGTTTACACAGTCTGTTCATACAGTCTGTTTACACAGTCACCATGCAGTGGTTAAGTTCATACAGTCTGTCACCATGCAGTGGTTAAGTTTAGTCACAGTCTGTCACCATGCAGTGGTTAAGTTTACACAGTCTGTCACCATGCACAGTCTGTGGTTAAGTTCATACAGTCTGTCACAATGCAGTGGTTAAGTTTACACAGTCTGTCACCATGCAGTGGTTAAGTTTACACAGTCTGTCACCATGCAGTGGTTAAGTTTACACAGTCTGTCACCATGCAGTTAAGTTCATACAGTCTGTCACCATGCAGTGGTTAAGTTTACACAGTCTGTCACAATGCAGTGGTTAAGTTTACACAGTCTGTCATCATGCATTGGTTAAGTTTACACAGTCTGTCACAAGCAGTGGTTGAGTTTTTACAGTCTGTCACCATGCAGTGGTTAAGTTTACACAGTCTGTCATCATGCATTGGTTAAGTTCATACAGTCTGTCACCATGCAGTGGTTAAGTTTACACAGTCTGTCACAAGCAGTGGAGTAGTATAGGTAAAGACAGTCCGGGACCAAGGTAGCTAAAGCTTCATTACATAGATAAAGCTTTAGTCGGATACCTTATTTTACTGTTATTACCTATACAGAAAGCCTCATTTCCTAAATAATGCTTTAGTTGGATCAAGCTATGAAAGTGTTTATTTGATCTATGTCGTGTTGGTGGGAGGTCAATATCTATGACACTATGTCACGTTGACCTCGATGAAACAGTTTAATGTGAATCGCCTAGGATCTCTTTTGGTGTTGGTAATAAAGGCTTGCTGGGCCTTTTTCACCCCTTGTTCTATGTACTGGACCAGGGTAATCTAAAAGCTTCATTAGTCGGATACCTTATTTTTACTGTTATTACCTGTACAGAAAGCCTTATTTCTCAAATAATGCTTTCTCCTCTATGTCGTGTTGACAGGAGGTAACACTGTATCATACGGTACGATCAATAATTCTTCTCTTACAAACCCCCTCCCTGGCCCATCCATCAAGAAATACAAGGTAGGTTCGTCTGTTTTCATGTCTACCTTATCTATGTTGTAAGTTTTGACTGACCATATAGGATCAGTAGCTCGCTTCCGAAGCGCCCCTTCATGTTCTCCAGGTTGGTAGAGATACCTAACTAGGGACCTATCTGGTATTTGTTTCTCCTTCCCGTAAAGGTGCGGCCGACTCTGATATTATTGATTTCAATTTGATAGCGTCTGCCGGCTTCTTACCAGTGAGTCGCGTGATTTCATGATTTATGGCAGACACCACCTTAGGGAGCCGTTCAACCCATTCCGTCGATCGTTTTCCTGGGTTGGTCATCTCTCTAGCGTACTGATACCCAAATAAGCGCTCAGCCAAAGTCCTATTAAATCTTTCAACTATAGCTTGACTGCGATGAGCCCCGGCAACACCACGCCTGATCTTTGTATCGTGTTTAGCCAGCAACTGTGACACGGTACCCATAAACTCACGTCCGGGATCAACTTGGAGCTCTGATGGCCACGTCAACGGACTGCGTTTTATATGCGTTCAATCCTCTAGCTACCTGGGCAGAATCTTTCGCGGTCAATGGTTCGGCTTCCTTGTAACGACTGGCCACGTCCACTACGGTTAATGCATACTTATACCTCTTATCGTGGGGTAGGAACAGTAGGTCTGCTTGGTGAACGTTATTAGGTATGTTAATACCGAACTTTCTTCTAGGCGCGAAGCGTGGTGCCGGCAAATAGATCTGCCACAGGGCTTGTTTTTCAAGCACGCTTTGAGTCTCCTCCGAGGATACTCACTGCGCCATTTTAGCCAGCTTATCTACAGCTTAGCTCCTTTCCAGTACCCACGCGGACTGTAGTAAATAGCCTCAAACTTTTTCTGGTTCCGCGTGACATGTCACCATTTATTTATACCTATGTTCTTGGTTCAATTTTCTCATGCCCGTGCGGCGTACACGTATTTATCCCATCAATGGCTATCCAACGTTTGGTATCCATAGGTGATAATGATGTTTTATTTATAGTCAACCCCAGTATATCCTATGCCCATCACTTCTAAGTGTGTTCATTTTATGTTTAAAGGTAATGGTCTTGAACAGGGCTTCCTTGAATCTGGCGCGGTTTGATGTGTTGTTTCACCACGCATTTTTTACACCCTTAGCTTTCCGGATCTCACCATTGTCGGCCTTCAGTATGGAGTACATCTTAGGCCTCAACCCTATGTACTCGGCTATGGGCGTACAGCACACTCGTCCTTCATCTTACCTAGGACTTTTTATTCACCGTGCTGTGTATGGCATGGTCCTTGGGGTAATCGCTGGTGTCGCATAAATCGAGGTGTTTTTCATGTCCTCGCATTACCGTCCTCGGTTGAATCTCCATCAGCAAGGAATCTGTGTCAGTGTATAGCACTTCACACCTGTCGCCGCAGACTGTTTCTTAAGCTCGTTGTAGTAAAAGTCGTACATCAGGTGTTTGGATAAATCGAGGATGCTCATCCCAACGTAAACAGGCCGGTTTAATA